TGCTTTCTTTTTGAAGCGGATTCAAAATGCTACTGTGAGGAGCACTTTCAAAACGTGTTCTTCCTTGGAATATTTCTAAAAGCATTCAAAAAAAGAAGCGTGAAAAAAGAACCGTTCTTTTCAGGTGCACTTTAAAACTATTGTTTCTCAGCACATTTTTGTAAGTACCTTTACTTGAAGCGTTTTTCTAATCGAAATACTGCGTAGCATTTTCCTCACCACCCTCACCACCCTCAAGCTGGCACACTGATATCGGCGTGGCCGACGTCACTAAAATACCGACTCGGTGCTTACTGATACATCGATATACTGATATCAGTGACGCTGACTACATTCAAGCATTGATTCGATGTTCAGTGACACTGACTTCCACTGACATAACATGGCCGAATACCATGACATTTTCTACATCAAATGGTAAAGAAGCGCAGGAAATTGTACTGGAAGCTATACAAACACCTAAGATGTTTGTTGAACAATCGATTCTCTCGTTCATCAAGATTGGATTTTCTAGCTCATCAGCTGGAAAAAAAATATAAGCAACCGAAAAACCTGATCTAACTTTATCTTCATTATTTCTTATTATACTTCATTGTTCAAATATTACCTCGAATACAGGCATGATTCAGTTATTTTTAAAACAAAAGCTACTTGAAACATCATAGAATTAATTTGTGATAATGATAATTCGATTCGCTAGTGCGATTGTGCTTTGCTGGACAAGATGCAAACTTCTGTCGGATATTCGAAATGCTGTTTTCATTCGCAATTTTACCTATACCACACTCGTTACTGTACTCTATTTGTATAATCATTACTAATTCAGGCTATACTTTTGTTGCGAATCCATCAACAGCCTTGATCACAAGGTGGTGAATGTGATTTACAGGTGAATTGTCTGAGACCTATTTTAAAAATAGGATAATCTAGACATTTGCGTATACTTTAGGATCAATCAATGATGTTTGGTAGTGATCGTTCGCGTTATACAGACAATCAGTTTTCGGGTAAACGGTACGTTATGAAATATTTTTCTGAATACAGTTTTCTCTTATTTATCATGGTGCCACTGTAAGATTTATAAGAGTGTACTATTACTTCTTTAGATCTGTTGAAGGTAAAAATATTGGACCACTCGTTAAGACAAGTATGAATCGTTGTATTCATTGTACGTGATGTATCAGGTATAGTTTTAAAAGGTTTTTATGAAGTACACTATTAGAAATCCCGTTTTTCTTTCAAAGATTTGGCAGCGAAGTAGCTGGTGTAAGTGATCTGGTAACCACTGGTCATGGCAGTGATATGATCATCGGTACATATGTTGAACGTTTATTTATCTCTGAATTATCTGGAAACGTTATTGATTTATGTCCTGTCGGTGCATTAACATCGAAACCATACGCACTTACAGCTAGACCATGGGAAACAAGGTAGACTAAGCGTACAGAGTTGGGATATAATCATAATGTGACAAATATATTTACTCTATATATTCAATCTATTATTTATAGAAAATCGGAATCTATCGACGTGATGGATGCACTGGGAAGCAACATTGTTGTTCATACAAGAAGCGGAGATGTGCTTCGTGTTATTCCGCGTATTAATGAAGTGAGTTTTATGTTTGTTTGTGTTGTTTGTTGTTTATGTTTCACTCTAAAACATAGTTTGATGTTATGGTTGCATCTTCTGTAGGATGTGAATGAAGAATGGATATCAGATAAAACACGTTTTGCATATGATGGTTTAAAACGGCAACGTTTAACAGCGCCAATGTTAAAAGATCGTGATGGATATCTAACACTGTGTGATTGGGAAGATGCATTAAGTGTTGTTGCTGAAAAGGTAATGGTTTACATTAGAACTTTCCTTGGTAATTGAAGTTGTGCATGCATAAATTAAATTCTTGATATTCAATGATTTCTCGTCTATCTTAATAACATATTTTTTGGTAGATTGGTCGCTCAACTGGTTCAAAGATGGCCGCACTTGCTGACTGTTTTTGTGATGCTGAAGGATTAATCGCATTGAAAGATTTCATGAATCAATTAGGATGTG